AGCTGGCTCCTTACAGGTAGTCCTCGATTTACAACCAGAATTTCCATAGCTATGCCAAGGCAGTTGTTCAGCGAGCGATGCCTGATTGGAAGGACCTTGTTTGCCAGGATGGAATCTGACAGTCATTCGGCAACATTGAGCTGACTTTGTCAGAAGCCGCCGGGGAAAGTCGTAAATGACAGGGACGTAACCCGAGGATGCTTACGATGTTGTAAATATACACATCAATGGCCTACATGTTTGATCCCATGATCATGGGGATGCTATAACCACCGGAAGGCGAGGACCCAGGGGTGGGCCGCTACCGGTTTGCACTGGTTCAGGCGAACCAGATGCTAATTTTACATCCGGTTCACCTGACCTGTAGTTATGACCAGCTGGCCCTGCCCACCCCTCCTCTCCCCTCCCTGGAGTCTCCAGCTGCCCATTTTGGATCCCAGGTAAATTCAGGGCCCACGTGGAGACTCAGGGAAGGTTTAAAAAAACGAGCCGCCCGGAGGCTCCGGAAGGCCAGAAACAGGTCTGGTGCTTCATTGATAAACATCCTAAGTAGATTTTACAGACCAGTTGTAGATTTCTCAGACAGAAGCATGTTGCAAGTCACTTTGATAGCATAGAGAAGAGAGAGAGAACTTTAGTTCAGCAGGCAAGCAAGACACCCAGCAGAGGATAGAAGCAGTTTCATTCTCAATAGACAGACTCAGAGCTTAACATAGCTTCAGAGCTGCAGAGCTTAATATATAGAGCCACCCCTAGGCTCCTTCTAGTTTCAGTTTCCAAACTGTCCTCATCGACCGACTTAGTTGCTATGCCTATTCCTGGGCTGACCTTGTTAGCAAGCTCTATTCCAGGTCGCGAATTTTCTCTGACCAGGAGGCTGACCAGGCCACGCCCACCATGGCCACACCCACCCAGCCACTGGGCAGAGAACCGGTTGCTAAAATTTTTCCATCCCTGCGGAGGACCAATCATAGATGCCTTTTTGTTCAGTGCCGTTTTAACTTCGACTGGTCGCTAAACGAATGGTTGCCCCGGGGAGGGATTACTTGTGCAGGTAGCCCTCGAGTTACAACCACAATAGAGCCCAACGTTTTCAGTTGCTAAGTGAGCCAGTTGCTAAGTGAGTTTTTGCCCCACGTTTCTTGCCACAGTTGTTCAGTTGAATCCCGGCAGTTCTTTCCATGGTGGCTAAGTTTTTTGGTCATGTTTCATCATAAAATGTCCATGTTTGCCACTGGTAACATAGGTGTGGGAAGGGATATGCTTTGTACGGGATGCTTCTTCGTGCCGATCGGTACTGCCTTATCCCAAAGATGCTTTTTTCGGGAGGCAACTGGATTTTTTTTTCTTTGAAGGCGTTTTCGCTTCTCCTCCAAGAAGCTTCTTCCGCTCTGACTGAATGGTGGGGGAACGGAAGGATTTCTACTCCCTGCAGACAGCTGGTCATTTGCATCCTTTTTAGGGAGTCATTGAGGCCACCTGGAGGTTTATTTGCGTCCTCAGGGTCACCTGAGTAGTGCAAATGGTTCCTGTAGTCTGCAATTCGTTTTCCTCTGGAAATCCGTCCCTGCTCCCATTCAAAGGGTATTCATCAGGGGTGGGATGTAAATATTTTTACTACTATTTCTGTGGGCGTGGCCGGGTGGGCATGGCCATGTGACTGGGTGGGCGTGGCTTCTTTATTTTTTTGCAGCACCCACCCACCCACCCCATGCTCGGGTGTTGTTGGGGGGGTTTTTTGCCCTCTTGGGCCTCAGGGAAGCCTCCTGGATGAAGCAATTAAGACAGCAAGCTGATCGTTGGAACAGCTGATCGTTGGAACAGCTGATCGTTGGAACAGCTGGTCGTTGGAACAGCTGGTCATTGGAACAGCTGGTCGTTGGAACAGCTGGTCGTTGGAACAGCTGGTCGTTGGTGGAGGAAAAAAAAGATGCTTTTTCAGGAGGCAACTGGTCTTGGGGTTTTTTTTTTGAAGACCTTTTGCTTCTCATCCAAGAAGCTTCCTCAGCTCTGACTGGATGATGGTGAGTAATGGATGGATTTCTACTCCTTGCAGGCGGCTGGTCATTTGCATCCTTTTACGGAGTCGTTGAGGCCACTTGGAGGTTTATCTGCATCCTCAGGGTCACCTGAGTAGGGCTCCATTCCAAAGGGCGTTCCTCCCAAATTGTATCGCAAAAAACATATAGAGATTCTCAGTCCTCCAGGTCCTGGTTGTCCCAAAGGTTTTTTTTTTTTCCAAGAGACAACTGGACTTTCTTTGTTTTTTTTTTTTCACTTGAAGACGTTTCACTTCTCATCCAAGAAGCGTCTTCAGGGACAGCTTTCCAGAGGCAAAGAATTGCAGACCACAGGAACCACGAGCACCACTCAGCTGACCCTGAGGATCAAGACAAACCTCCAAGGGGCCTCAATGACCGTTCAAAAGGATGCCAATGACCAGCTGTCTGCAAGGAGTGTAAATCCTTCCGTTCCCCCACCATCCAGTCAGAGCTGAAGAAGCTTCTTGGATGAGAAGGGAAAGGTCTTCAAAGAAGAAACCAGAAAAGTCCAGTTGCTTGTTGAAAATAGCACCTTTGGGACAACCATGACCTGAATGACTGAGAATGTCTACATGCTTTTAGCGGTTCTGCCTTATGTTGTAGGAAGGAGTGGTCCCAATACTTGGCTTGCCTTATTGCATCCTATAGCCTTTTATTTATTTATTTATTCGATTTGTCAATTGCTTACAAGATAATAGGTATAAGGATAAATATAGTTTTGAATACATGAGATAGATACTTATAAGAAAAATAAAAGAAACAATAGGACAGGGACAGTAGGCACATCGGTGCGCTTATGCACACCCCCTACAGACCTCTTAGGAAAGGGGTGAGGTCAATAGTAGACAGTCCAAGGTTAAGATTTTTGGGGTTGGGGGAAAAAACCACAGAGTCAGGTAGAGTATTCCAGACATTGACCACTCTGTTGCTGAAGTCGTATTTCCTGCAATCAAGTTTGGTGCGATTAACCTTGAGTTTGTATCTACCCTGTTTCTCCAACAATATGGCCTCCCCCAATAGGAAGTCCCAGCATGTTTTATAGGCATGAAATGAAATTAAGCCCCTCCCCCCAACTTAAGGCCTATATTAAAACATGAGAAATGGGGGGGAATGGTGGGGGGGCTTGCCGTTAGGAAGTACTTTTGTTGCACCCCCGGATATGGTGCTGCCTGCGTTGATCCCAATATGAAGTGCCCCACCAACGCTGAGGTCAACATCCAAGCCATCGCTGCCCGCCCGGCCGAAGATGCAAGGGGGGGGAATTAAGTCACCCCCGAAAAGACGCCCTAGCCATTTTTTCGGGGCTCAAAAAAAAAAAATAGGACCCGGCCTTATTATACGAGAAACACGGTATTGTTTGCTCGTGTTGTTGTGGTTGGAGCTGAAGTATTCATTGACAGGTAGGACATTGCAATGTATGATTTTATATACTATACTTAGATCGGACCGAAGGTGACGTAGTTCTAAGTTTTCTAGGTCTAGAATTTCTGGTGGCATAAGGTATTCTTATTTAATGAGTACAGGAGCGGAGAACTCATGGCATCCTATAGGCTTGTAAAGTGACTTTTCCAGGACAAGAAGCGAGAACCAATCTACAACTAAGGATACATTTCCTGACAGGGAGGACAATTAACCAGCAGAACTGCTTGCCACTAGACGTTGTGGGGTGCTGCTCAAACACGGGAGGCTTTGAAGAAGAAATTGGGCAGCCATTTATGTGAAATGATGTTGGGTCTCCTGCTTCAGCAGGGGGCCGGACTAGAAGACCTCCAAGGTCCCTTGGAAGGGAGGGGGGGAATGTTGATGCGCCTTTTGGACCCGGCCAGGCGGATCTCCTCTCCTCCAGCCAGCCAGCCAGGCTCTTCGTGCGGCTTTGCAGGTGCCTGTCCGCCCCCCCGACCTTTTCCCTTTCCCTTCTCCGGGAACAGACGGGAACTCTTACATAAGCCGCTTATGCAACCGGCCCCGCTTTCGCCCCGAGGCCGTCAACAGCAGCTCCGCGTCTCTATCCTTTCAAAAGACGCCAAGCATCTCTAACCTCCATTCATGCGAGCGAGGGCGGTGGGCTCGCCAAAGTAGGCGCGGGCGGTGGGGGGGGGGAACGGGTCAGTACACAAACCCCAATTAATAGAAGGGGAGGTTTCCATTAATCCAACCGTTGCCCCCACGTCTTGGGTCTCCTGGAGGGAGATTGACCTACTGCGGAGGAAGATTAAGGACTTTCCTAAAGTAAAAAAAAAAGAGGCAAGAGCGACCCGAATTCGCTCTCGTTTCTCTTCCCCTCTCCCTGAGACGGAATGGACCGTCCCGCCTTCCTGAAGCTGTGAATGAAATATTTGCCGCGAAAAGAAGGGAGCAGACCATTGTAAAGAAAGGGGGGGAAGGTTGTGGTTAACGACAACTGCAAATGTCGGGTTCGCCGTACGGAGACGTTTCAGTGTGGCTGTTTTTAGAAAGAAAAAGACGAGATATCGAGCACACTTCGGAAGAGGCGAGACTCCTCAAATTAGCGGGATGGAGGATTTCATGATTTCTTTTTTTTAACCTCCCTTTCGTTACGGAAAAATAGTTCAACCCGTTCTCCTCCTTCCTCGGTGGGTGGGCAGCGCCGCGATTGGCTGGGCGCATTTTAAAGGGGTAGACAAGGCGCGCTTTTTTTCTACCCTCCGACCCTTCCTTCACTTTCGCTCCCTTCTCGCCTCAAGCCGCGCGGGGAAAAAAACTACCGTCCTCCGGCCGGCCGCCCGCAGCTCAGCCAGCCAGCCGGGCGGGCAGGCGGGGGCGAGGAAGCGAGCCGGAAAAGCAGCGAACGTGAGCATTCGTCGAGCCCTGGTCCGGCGGAGCGGGCGGGATGAAGTGGGGCGCTCCCAGCCCGCGACGACTCCGAGCACGACGGCCAAGAAGGCGGCGGCGGCTGCGGCTGCGGCAACCGCTGCTAGGCCCCGCCGCGGCGTTGCTATGGAAACGGGCGGCGACGGCGTCCGCCGAGGGACAGAAAGGTTGCCGGAGCGGCGCCTCAGGCGCTCCGAGCGCGAGCGGCTCCCGCCGCCGCCGCTGCCGCCGCCGTTGCCGTTTCTGAGGGGCGCCTCGGCCGCCATGGAAGGCCGGTCGGTCGGCCTTCCGAGCCAGGCCTCTCCGCCGGTCAAAGCCGCCTTGGCTTCCCCTCCTCGCTACCGCCTGGTGTCGGAAATCGGCCGCGGGGCCTACGGCGTGGTCTACGAGGCGGTGTCGGGCCGCAGCGGCGCCCGCCTGGCCGTCAAACGGCTGCGTTGCGACGCTCCGGAGAACGTGGAGTTGGCCCTGGCCGAGTTCTGGGCCCTGACCAGCCTCCGCCGCCACCACCCCAACGTGGTGCGCTTCGAGGAGTGCGTCCTGCAACGCGACGGGCTCGGGCAGCGCATGAGCCACGGCAACAAGCAGAGCGCGCTCTACCTCCGCCTGGTCGAGACGTCCCTCAAGGGTAAGGAAGGAACGGGGGGCGGGGGGTCGTCTGGACGGTCTTCCCGCGGGAGGACACGTGTCGGGGGCGTTCTCACGACGCGGGAGGGGGGGGG